CTCAGTGTCCAAATATAAGTCACAATAGAATACAAGTTCATACACCGTTGTTATCACACAGTTGTTAGTATGATTCAAGTATACAGTAGTACAGCAGATGAGTCGAGAAAATCACCACTAGAATAATAAATAATTCACCTCCACTCACACAAGACGCATCACGAGATGATAGGTGCTGTGTTGTGTTAATTAACAGGGAGCTCACCGAGATCATTATCAACCTTCACACAGGCTTGGATATTGTTAGGCACCGATGTAGAGACGCGTTCAACTGATGTTTTGCCTGTCGCTCGCAATAGTGGTCCGAACCGCGATTTCATCGTGGGGATGGAGACCACTAGATCACACTCCCCGAATGCTGCTGGCATCACTTCCCATCATCGAATGAGAGTCGATCACTCATAATAAAACAGCACTAGTGAGCTATATCACAGTGTCATCCTGATATATACCTTTGCTCGGGGTCACGCTCCAGACTGCTTTTCTAGCTGCTGCAGACTGACCGGAAGGATCCTCATACTGCCTATACACTTCGCATAGTGAACACAATTCGTCTATGGCTCACTTCCTTCACCTGAATGACGATGATCGACCACGCCAAGCCAGGTGGATCATCGGAGATAATGGCTGGTTAATGTCGCAGCAAGGTCGAGTTGGATGTGTCCCGAGACAGCAGCCTTATGCTATTTAAGCTGCCTATTGTAAAGCATACAGTGTTTGTGACTTTAAAAAAAAGCAGCTGCAGAGCAAACCACTATAGCGAGGCGAGTGTATTAAAGAAGGTAGTGACCTTTTGGCAGTTATCTGTATATCCGTATTCGTGCGATTGTTACTTGCATGCAGGGAAGTCATGGCAGTTGGTTCAAGGTAGTTCTCATATAACATTCTTTGTCAGAGAGAGCTAATAAAAAGAAACACAAGAGAGCAATTCTATTGAGGAAACGTTGAGTACCGTACAGAAGAAAGCAACACAGCGACTTAAGAAATGCAAAGAAAGACACACACGTCCTTTAATTGAGTGATGGTTTGAACGTCTTACACATGTCGATAGCACAGTATGTGGGAGTGATAAGTCAAGGGAGGTACTGTGAAGAGATGTACTGATATTTCTGGGAATATTGGAGTGAGGAATGAAAAAGGTCTACTAAATAAACACATAAAAAAAAAAAAACAATAAAGGTCATGTGATCCATTGATAGAATTGTCAGACGCAATTCCAGCTCGTTGTGGTCCAGAGGGGTGGATCAGGCTTTGTTTGTGTATGAATCATCTTCATGAATTGTAAGGCCATAGGTCGCCTGTTCCTAGAGGAGGGAATCTGTCCACAACAGACAAAAAGATGACATTGTATGTTGAAATTCAGACTTTGTGAAATCTATAGTTCGTTCAGACTACAATGTACACCCTAGGTGGGCTTTGTCACTGAACTCTAAACAAGTCGCCTGCTGCTAGATGTGGATAGAGAGTCAATTACTAATCGAAATGAGCTTATGAGATTACTACAATATCAAATACATACTCCTACTGATAGATTTACGTCTAAACTATTGATTTTATTTGAGAGTATTTTCGCTATACCCCATAAACATTTGTTCATTTCCAGCATAAAATGCTTGCTACAGAGTCGCTTATGAACTTGATCATATAGACCCGATATGGCTAACCTGAGGGTGTAGGAGGAACTTGTGTACTGCGCGCGCAGAGCGTGGCTTGGCCTAGTATCGAGTGAAAGAAGATTGGTTATTTAGTCTCTGTCCATAATTGACGTATCAACGTAGATGATCACTACTACGAGCTCTTGCAATTGATGTTTCAAGGCAATTAAGACATTTAGAAGAAAACCACAACAGAATGCTGGCTATTGTGAGTGTTCTACTTAATTTATGTCTAAAAATATATACGATGAGAGTAGACCTCGGGTAATGTAGGTACTGGACACTCAACGAGACGACTCTAGCAGGACAGATATCTTACGCGCCAATCAAAACCACACGTCGTCTTAGAGTCATTTCACCACTCAAGGTGTGAACCAGAGCTCTGAGATAGACCAGTGAAGGAGAGAGAGGGAGCAGTTCTGGAGAGAGGGTTCGACTTGTTGTAAGAACGTTTCCTGTGTAAACGCGCTCGAGCGAAGCTAGAACGGGGAGTCATGGCTTTCAAGAGGTCGTGTATCTGCGAGCTTGTCTGAAAATCAAGTAGTTAGCCGCCTCCCAACAGGCTGGCCATTCATAAACCACCTAGAGAATATGTACCTTGGTGAAACTGAGAAAGCGAGCCGAGTTCCTGTGAGCACAGCTGGAATTAATGTCTGGATGGTTTACACTACGACAACACTGATTCCGCTTAGAGCTGAAACAGAAGGTTACCCCATGGTGTCCACTATGAGGTCCAGCTGTCCATTGTAGACAGTGATTGACTCCAGCGCTCAGCAGCTGGTCCGTCACTATGTCCACCACTGGCCTCAATGAGTCTCTAATTCCGCATTTTGCCTGAACACTTCTCTCTGCCTGGGACTGGACGAGGGAAGAGCGCAAAACAAAGACGGAAACATTTTCGCAGTGACAGGAAATTCTCATTCAAGGAAGCCTGAAGCTGAAGGAGACAGAGACCAAACTTACCTCCCCAGGTGACGTTCTGGGGAATGATGCCCAGTTTCTTTCCTATCGTCCCATTCATGAGCTGCGCTCAAGAGCTGTGGAGGGGACGAATATGGCAGCGTGCTGCAGAGCTGGTGAGCAGAGGGGGGGAAAAAAAATGGATTTAAACTTTAAAATATACACAAACCCTGTTACCTGAACTGTAAAAAACACACTCCTTCCACGGCAAACAAACCCAGTTAGCGCCCGCACTGATATTCGTTAGAACATGCCGGACTGGATCGTGCGAGGCACAACGTCTTACCAATGAAGTCTCTCCTGCTGAAAGCGAGCGGACTTTCTCATTCGGTCTCTGCGCGTGAGGATGTGTAGTTGATGAGAAGTTGACTCATTGGTGTTCTGACAAGAAAAACAAAACAACAAGTCGACATTCAACCTCATGATCCTGCACACAATCTGGTTTGTGACGGTAGAGCAGCACAGACGTCACACTTTAAAAAGTGCCACATGGGGAAAAATTTGAATTGATTTCTGAGCAACAGCGCTTGGGCGATATCCAAAATGTCATATCTCGATACAGTCCGGCCCAAATATTTTGTCGATTAAAGTGAATTTCATGCGCATGGGGGTCTCACCGAGTTAATGGGTTTCATCTATTGGTCTTGTATTTAGTTGCTGTTAGAGTTTAATTAATTATATATAGAGATTTTGTTTTATGAATAATTTATGTATCTATGGAGGATTTTTTTCAGAGTATTATGCGTTGATGCTAGCGTCATAGAACGGGACAAGATTCAAGAGTTTATTCATGTTTGTTTGCGGTTGAGTTTATTCAGAGCAGGTTAATTGCTACAGAGGTGTAAGGTAGATTGGGCGATACCTCTGCAGCAGCAGCGTATACCTGAAGGCCTTGACTGTCGGTTCGAGAGATAGGACTTTACGAAGCGATTGAAACTGGAAGCTGAGAATCTGTAGGGCCTCAGGAATAACGCCGTGACGGGAAAGCTGCGGGACGGATGCTGAGACTACCGTGAGTCTGTGTAAATAACCAAATTTGACTGACGGAACCTTAGCCGGTCGATGAAAACTCCGACTGTGACGGTAGCTCATGCTTTCTCTTCAGCAGGTGTAGAGGCGTCGCAGAATTAAGGCAAATTAGACGTAGTAGCGTGCAGTCGTAAGATAAACGGTGGGGAGGTGTGGGCCGTCACGAGTGCCCCACCTAAAAGTCGTGAAGAATGTAGCTGGGTCACGAGAAGTATGGCGAATGCAACACACGTGAGAGATTACTAGCAAGTGTCGATGGAGAATAGCAGCTGGTCGGCCATTTGGTGGAGATGATCACCGCAGTCGGCGCTTACACTTCGGAGTGGTTGGTGAAGACGAAGTGTCAAGCCGCCAGAATGGGTGGGTATCAATTAGTAAGACTCAGAAAATGCTTGGCGGAAGGGTCGTCTGTTTATGGCTTCCCGAGG